TATCGAGATAAAGAGCATGATGATCACCATATGCCAAAATTCCCTTTGAATTCAATCGTATATATGAACAAATGGTGCAGAGACTTGTAACAGAGCATGGAACTGGTAAGTTGAGCATATAAAATTTGCAATACAAGAGCTTCTACACATTCTCAGTGGCGTTTTCTTCTGTCTTGTCTGCCCTTCCTGTGGCAGCAAGTCTCTCAGCTGCCAATCTTTCTTCTAGTGCTCGAGCACCTCTTTCCCTGCAATTTTGCAAGGACAACAACGCAATACAATAGATGAAGTTAATATATACATCTTGCAGCTATCGACCTTTTAAATCCATTTTATAGCTACAATAATGTACTCACTTTTGATACAAGTTCGACGTGCAGGGCAGTTTTGAGACACAAGGAACAGTTCTCCATTCTCAGATTGCATTACTATGGCATGTTTCAGATTAAATTAAAATCAACTAGCATGGAGAATTAAAAATGAATCCATGGATAAGTCCACATTCTATGACTGCAAATGTAAGATCATCGACATTTGCCAAGCTACTTATCCATAATCATGGATGACACAATAACAGGAACTTCAACAGTCCACTCCCAATAGATAATATTGGAACAGAAGTTCCAAATTACTAGTTTCACTAATTATAGCTTTCTCATGTAAATTCCATGATTCAACTTTTTCTACAATCATCATCTGTGTGATGGAAGTTCATAATTTTCATAAGTAGAAACTTCAAATAATTTCATACTTCTACATGTCAGGGTCTTTCATCAATTCCTCTGGAAGTATATTGTCAATTTTTATTTTGTAGAGCAATAGTTTGCATGTTAGCCCTAAAATGACTCCATCTATTACATTGAGCTTCAAATGCTATAAAACACGACAGTTAACTGGTCTGATCATAGTTCTGATCATCCGATGCTCATTCCATTTTTCTTTTCTTTTTTTTTTATTTTATTAATTAATAAATTGATTTGTAATCCAGGGGGCGGCACATTCATGTAAGAAAACATAAGGTCCAAAAGGTCTACAAGAGTCCACAACCCTTATTTAGAGATGGAAACCAATCTGTCAAATACCAGATCATTTTGCAGAAAACCAACATTGAAGCACTCAACACGGCACTCTTCTCTCAACCGCATCATCCAATCTACTTCATGGTTCGAGTTTCCTAAGTAACCGATTCTTTCTTCATTCGAATTATAGGGAATTCCTTAAATTATTCTCCAAATCCCTAATATTTCTTAGTTTTACTCTCTTTTTGTCATAACTTTAGTTTTTCCAGCACTTTGTCAATGAGTAGATAAAGGCTAATGGCTCCCACCATAATTTGAATCTCATCCATTGGAATTTCTCACTATCTACTATTCTATCTCAAAATCGAGAAGGAAGGCATTGGACATTCAAAAGATTTCTGAAAAAAGCAACCATAAGCAAAGAAAACAACTAGCATAAAAAAGTTCATACTCTTGCTGTAGAATCATTTTTCCAAGACAAATGACAAAAAAAATAAAAAATAAAATCTAGATACTCAAATATTAGCGTCACCAAATCCAATTACACTATTTCATAGCTACGATTAATAAATCTATGAAGATGATTAAGAACAATAAGATTCATGATCTCCCCCTGAAAAAGTTCAAATGTTCCTAACTTCATAGTAGCCACGTCATTATACCCCCAGCCAGAAGCATTTTTAGTAACTTCATGCTGTGTAGCCTCGTAAATAATTTTGAACAATCTTGTTCTAAATATTTAAATGTATATTAGTGAGTAATGTATGTTCCTTGAAAATTAAACAGAAAAATTACCTCCTCCTAGATGCTTCAATGGGATCAGAACCAGGCAATGTGGTGCTTCCTAAAGTATAGCCCCCAGACTCGTCTGACATTTCAGATCGTCTTCCACAAAGCATCCGCTCAAATATCGTCGCAAGTGGATTAATAACCGGCCTAAACACCATCAACAAAGATGAATGTTGAAATGGAGACATGAAAGGCGATGGGCAGAAAATTTTAATAAAAACAAAATATAAAAAAGAAGTAAATTACCTGCAAAATTCAGGGAAAAAGGTAGAGAAGGCAAATTCATCACTTGGATCGCCTCTTCGTTTTGTTTCTGGCTTTCTTTGCCAATATCTGAGGTAAATCCAACCTATATAGGTACCAAATATCATGGTGGGAAGATAAGATGCCGATTCTGTGGTGAAAAAGCTTATAATGATGGACACCAGTAGTGCAAGCGAAGGCAACCACTGAAATAGTTGAATAAGCAACAATGAGAAAATGTAAGCGATAGGTCCTTGGAGTTTAGAACGTAAATTAATAATTTATGACATGACGGAGCAGCAATAAAAACTCTAAAGTACCAAAAGTTCATACTTTTGCCTTTATTTTCAACAATGATAGGTCTTGATCAGGTAATATCTGCTTGATTCCGACTAAGAACCCTGAAAGGACACCTTGGAATCCAGAAACAGGCATGTAACTGCAGAACAAACAACAATAAGGAAACCAGAAATTTAACCTTTGACAAGCATAAAATGGCAGAGTTACAACAAATTAAATAGTGATTTTGAATACAACTGAAAAAAACAGGATATGCCAGAGGGAAACCAAGGTCAATATTATGTGATACAAACATCTCTTAGTTTGATGTAAATTTTATTCATGCTGCATCTCTTGGCCATAAGTTCCAGGTGTTACATTCAACGAATCATATTGACTGACCAAAAACAAGGTAATGCCAGAAGGCGATTAACTACTGGACACCAAGGTCTATATTATGTGACATGCATTTCTTTAAGATTGATGTAAATTTTATTCAAGCTGCAGTTCCTGATAAATAAGTTGCAATTAAAAGTATTATATGATTGACC